AACCATCCAGTGGTTGCTTCTACCATCAAAAGCATGTAGTACTTCCATGGATACTATCTCCCAGGATAAGTCCACCCCTTGCTCATAAGCCCATCTGTATGTTCAATCTCTTCCCTGATGACCTGAGGTGTCATGGGCCCACCAAGCCAGAAATAATTCACCCTTATCTTGCCAGTCCACATGCACCTGAGACACTTTAATCTGTCCACCTGTCCTTTGTTATGATGTTCTTTCAGTAGCCCGACTCCTAGGTATGTGTGAGTCTATATGACGTTCTTTTACAGCCAGCTTCTCTACCTGGGGAGCGATGTCCTGCCACAGTTCAGCAGCCCAGGAGGAGCTGTGCTTCGGTGCCAACCACTTCTCCAGCACCTCCAAACCCTTCATAAGATGCCAGGATCTCCTTTTTGGTTGGAGTGTAGCAGGCCACAGATCCTTTGTATCCTGAAATCCAGAACTCCAGGGGTTGTTCTCAAGTCTCCCCTGGTGCTTTTTGCCAGAGACTCCAGGAAGGACCATTCTCCCTGTCTGCAGAGTAAAGCACATTTTTCACATCCTCTCCTGTCCGGACTGGCCCAAGGGCTACTGTATGAACCATCTCCTGTCTAATTTGTTCAAAAGCTTGTTGTTGTTCAGGGCCTCACTTAAAATTGTTCTTCTTTCGGGTCACTTGGTAGAGAGGGTTTACAATCTGACTGTAATCTGGAATATGCATCCTCCAGAAACCCACAGTGCCTAGGAAAGCTTGTGTTTCCTTCTTGCTGGTTGGTGGGGTCATAGCTTCTATTTGGTTGACCATGTCCATTGGATTCTCACGACGTCCATCTTGCTGTTTTATTCCTAAAAACTGAATTTCCTGGGCAGATCCCTTAGCCTTACGCTGCTTTATGGCAAAGACAGCTTTCAGGAGGATGTGGATTATCCTCTCTCCTTTCTCAAAGACTTCCTCTGCTGTGTCGTCCCACACAATGATGTCATCAATGTATTGCAGGTGTTCTGGAGCCTCACCCTTTTCTAGTGCAGTCTGGATCAGTCCATGGCAAATAGTGGGACTGTGTTTCCACTCCTGGGACAGTCAGTTCCAGGTGTACTGGATGCCCCTTCAGGTGAAAGCAAACTGTGGGCTGCACTCTGCTGCCAAAAGAATGGAGAAAAAAGCGTACTGGATGCCCCTTCAGGTGAAAGCAAACTGTGGCCTGCACTCTGCTGCCAAAGGAATGGAGAAAAATGCATTGGTAATGTCAGTGGTTACACAGCACTTTGCTGCCTTTTACTCCAGTTCATACTGAAGTTCCAGCATGTCTGGAACAGCAGCACTCAGAGCTGGCATGATTACATTCGGGCCACGATAGTCTACTGTCAGTCTTCACTCTCCATTGGACTTACACACTGGCCATATAGGACTATGAAAGGGTGACAAAGTCTTCCTGACCACTCCTTGGCTCCCCAGTTCACGAATCATCTTATGGACGGCGATCACGGAGTCTTGGTTGGTGTGGTATTGCTGATGGTGCACTGTTGTAGCAGTTGGGACCTGTTGTTCTTCAACCCTCAGCAGTTCCACAGCAGAAGGGTCCTCTGAGAGACCAGGCAAGGGATTCAGGGATTGCCCTGTTAACCCAGAAATATAGACAAATTCTGCCCCACTATAACTTCATGGCATTAAAGTATATTGTGTGTTGGTGTCAACTAAAGCCTTAAATTCTTGTGGGTCTGATGTGCCAGGCCATCGGATCCACACAGTCCAATAGATCCAATTGTCCCTTTTGTCCACCTGGCTGGAAGCAGGACCCCTCTAGTCTTGGCCATGGTACATGTTGCTCACTGCCTCTAAATGTGAACTGGAGGTCCCTTCAAGAGGATGGGAAGTATCATCAGCCCTTCTATTCTGTCTGAGGACTTGCCCACTGGAAACCAGAGCGGCATTTATCTTTGAATAATTTCCTGAGGTGGTTGTTCTTCCTTTCAACTCACGTACATGTACTACTAGGACCGAGGTGGGTTTTCCATCCCACTTCTTCATGTCTTCTCCATGGTCATGCAGGAAAAACCACAGGGTATCTTGTGGTGTGTACCCTCTCTCTTGAGCAGGGGGGCACTCACTGTATAGGGGCGACTGCTACTGGCATGGGTTGTTCCTTTGGTTCATCTGCAGTTTGAGTGGCCACAGTGCCTGTTGATTTGCTTTTCTCCTCTTCCCCCTGAGGGTGCTGTCTAGTATCAAGCTGTGTCTGGTAAATAGTAGCAGGGCCCAGCACATTGCAGTACTTCGTGCCTCTTTAAAATTGCCCCAGCATATTCCTTTCAAATATTCTGCCACTTTTAGCAGAGTCCTGTAGTTGTTCTGGGGTGAACTTGTAAGCCATTGGAGGAGAGAAGTCCTCCAAAAGCTGGCCCATTTTGTCCCACCTTCCATGCCACTCATGACTATCCACCCTTAGGGCAGATCTCTGAATGACCTTCCTAAAACTCTCTTTTGTAACTCTAAATATGGTGTGGACTAGCTGAGGAGACCTAACAGACATAGCACCAAGAGCCCACTTTCCTTAAAGTACAAAGGAAATTCAAAATTCTCAAAAGCTGTTGTAATAAGCCTGAAGGAGAAAATGGGGTGAAAAGCTGGGGAAAATCACTCTCCTCTGTTCTCCCCAGGACTGGGTATGATTATTAATGGATTCCCAGAGGTAGCGCCTGAGGTTAAGGGCAGGAGAGCAACACTGAAAACACAGACCAAATGACTCTCATTGCCCTTAATGTTATTGTCATAAACTGCTAGCACACAGCACAGCTGTCATGGTTTAGGAATGGTATTTATTGTTCCCACTGAAACACTCCAGACCACATGCAGCTCGCTGACTTCCCCTCCCTGCAGCAGGATGGAGAGAATTGGAGGCACAAAAGGTAAAGATCACAGGTTGAGATAAAACAATTTACTAGAAACAGTAATGAAATAAGAAAACTAACTAATAAGAGAGTGTACAAGATAGGCAAATGATTCACACTTGATTGCTCACCACAAGGAACTGGAATGACATGAGGTGGTATAGAATAACCCCAGGGTCTTGGCTGTGCCCCTCCGGGCTGCTGCAAAAGTTAACCCTGTCCTGGCTAGAACCAGGACTGTTTTTAAACACTGCTGATCGCTCTTCAAGCATTTAAAGGAGTAGTGAACAGCCTTAAATGCTAAGCAATTTTTTAAATTTTACACCAACAGAAAAGCACCTTTGATAGTGTGTGCTCTGCCTTCCAAAGATGAAAATACCCATCCAGGGACACAGCTCCCAGCTCCTATTATAAAAAAAAAAAAAAAGGTAAGAGTGTTACTTTCTGTATTATAGATATCCTTACAAACTCACACTCTAAGTTGCTTCTCCAGTATATTTGATTTAGATTACTTTTTGATTTAGATTACTTTTTTCTTTTTCTAATACATATGGACATACAGTTTTAGGACTACCCAACTGTCTTGCTTATCTTACTAACCTTGTTCTTATGGTTGAAAGCTAATGCTCGGACTTTGCAGTTGTCAGGATTGGTGTTCTCCTTGGGGATATCTTTCAGAGCCCTGTGTGTTATGTGGGCATAGACAGGAACTTGAGAGAGATTATGCCTGGCATCACTTTTGGACAACACATCCTCTGTGACTTCCCAGAGACCCATTGAACCATCCCGGGAACCTGAATAAATAGTTCATAACAGCATTTCACATACACATAATTCCCCTTTTTAAAAAACGAACTGCAATGAACAGTAAGGTCTGAAAGAAAGAAAGGATACTTTAGATTAATTCAGTCTAACTGAATACACTGTTGGTGCCTATATATTAACTATTATTAACAAAATAATGATTTTACTGAGCTGTAAAGTTCATAACATTGTGAACTCATTGTCAGCTGATTTGTCTACATGGTATCCAAGCAGCTAGATCACCTCATCTGTTTTCAAACTGACTAGGATGCATCAAAAAACACAATGTACAACAATCACCATTAGAGATTCACATGTAGAATAAACTCAGAGGCAACTGAATAGCCTATGCATTCAGTCAGAGCTTGGCTTACCAAGGCCAAGATTGACAGTCTGTTAAGCCAATACAAAAACCTCCAAGAAAACTCAGTTGGGTTTCCACCAATTTTAGATAATTTGATTTCTGACAGTATACTTATGGATATGTACACACACATTAGTGAACTGAACAGAAACAGCTATTTCAAACCACAATTTGTACCAATTTGTATCAAATCTATTTTTATTTTTTTTAAACTCATGCAACCTCTTGTTTAAACAATGTAACACAGGAACTGAGGCTGAACAAGCAAGCACTCATTTTATTTTTCTACTGAACTTGAAGATATTCATACAAAATATGAATCAATAACAGTAACAATACTGGATGAAGAAAGCTAAATATCTTTGGTTCATAGATCAACACAGGCTTAATCCAAAGTCCTATGCCCATCCCTTCTGGTGTTTAGGCAACTCACTTCCATCTAAGTCAGCTCTGACAGATTTGACCTGTACCTGAATTTCTTCCCTACATTAATGTGGTTTTTGAATGCAGATATTGGGTTGAAGAATTGCAAGGATCAACTCCAGGATTAGCTTTTTTTTTTTTTTTTTAATATTACTGAGTTATCAATTCAAGTATTTGATTTTTATATCAGAGTGTTACAATTTTCTGTCATCTGCAGTTTGACAACTTCTCGTACAGAATATTACACCCTCTCAGCACAGAAAGACAGTAAACTATTAACATTAATTCAACAGCATATTGGTAATGCTGCCTTTACCTAAGTTAAGTAATACTTTATGAAGTTACACTGATTATCCAACTACACTGACTGAAAAAACCTTTTCTATTACAACCTTCTGTATTAATTACCATAGTATGTGTGCATATATATATACACATGCACACACACAACTTTACTGATAATTTGATAAAACAAGTTGAGTTTTCATTAATCAGTCTTTCACAGAATTTCAGGAAACCAATAGTGTTCTGCAGTATTCAAAGTTATTAACTGATAACCAACACCCCTGTTGAAATTATTCTTGTGTAGAATCTTTTCCTTGAACTTACTGTGTTTAGACACCCTCTCACGGCAACACCTATTGTAAAGACAGCAGTATTCCCTCTAATACTAGAAAAAAGAATCAAATCTAGACTAGGGCTCTACAAATATAAAAAAGCAAAGTACTGTACTAAGACTAAGAATGGTTTAAATAGGCAAAGTAGTTCCAAGTGGTTTCACATGCCTTATAAAGGTGCTTCCCTAAGACCTATCAAGTGCTGTACATCAGTATAAAATTCTGGGAAAAAAATTAAAATTAACTTTACCAGAAACAGCCATAGTATCACTTATCCATGCAATTGAAAATATCCAGTCCTTATGTCCATCCTAAAAAAAAATAAATAAAAAAGACAGATTTTCTGTGCCATTATATTCTACAGTGGTCTCAAATCAGACAAAAAAAATAAAAGTGAAGAATAATTCAGTGCAAACTCAGAAGGATGGACTTATGTTAAAAAAATATAAATAAGAATCCAGTATCAAGCTGGAGCAGTTTAAGAACCTAACAGTAATTTTAACTTTTATTGATTTTGACATGTATAATTAATACAGAGCAATTAGGCAATAGAAAAGCAGTTCTCTGACCAAGAGCAAATTCATTTCAATTCTAAGGTCTTAGATTTTTTTCCATTTTGAAAGCAGTGTTCTTTACTTCTATGAAGTAGCTGCATACTTTTATTTCCTCAAAATGCACATCCCTACTGTAAAAAGTAACCAAAACAGTATGTTTACAATATATGACCTATAGATTAATTTTTCAAGAATCCTTTACTCAGCAGGTGAGAAGCCTGTGGAGAAAAAAAAGACCGTAAGGCTCTAATTCTGTTTGAAAAGCTGTGGAGTCCCAGCAGCACACAAACAAATAACAAGTCATGCAAATCTTCAGTCAAGCCTTTCTGCAGCTGGTTATCTGCTACTGCAGAAACTCTGACCCAACCTTTGCTGTTGTAGTTAACATCTATGTGAAGTCCTAAATCAAAAAGGAAAAATAAGAGAGAAGTGCTTACAGGACACCACTAATACTCATTTCAGTCTTTTCTTTTTAAGACTGGTTGTTTTAAAAAGGCCTCATCATGTTTCAGAAGTAAAACCAGTACCAGAGTCTATCAAACTACCACAAGCCACTGGGTTAGAACTAATCCTCAAAGCCAAGTTCCACCTCTGAAATAATACATATATATAAGCTACACTGGAGAAGGGACAAACTTGAATAACCTTCACAATTTCTCAAAAGAGCTTTTTCACTAAAACTAGTTTCAGAGATCATCACCACCACAATTAGACTTTCACGGTTAAGATTTTGTTACATTTTCAATGCTTAAAATTAATGTGAAGTAGACCTGAATGAGGGTGAGGAAGAAGAAATCTGACTCAGAACCCTGAGAATCATCTCATATATTTATGTATTCACTCATGTTTTAAGATATCTTGTCAAAAAAGACAACTTGATCAGGAATATTTTCAAGCTTTCAGAAATTCATTCTCCACTACAAAACTCCCAAATCTTAGCCTTGCTCTGACATTACGTACTTCAAAGTAGTAATTCTTGGGACACAATAAACTTTCCCCAAATACTCCCACTTACATCTCCCACACACACAGGATCGAGTGTAGGCAGACGATAAATTGCAAGACTGTTGGGGTTGTCTCCACCTGTGGCCAGAAGGGTCCTTGAGGGGTTGAGCTCAATGGCATGAATACCACATCCCTGCTGGTTCACCATGCCAGGTTCACGATCTTTCAGAATAGGAATCTTGGTAATATGACCAATCTGGACATCTATTACAAATAACTGGGGGGAAAAAAGCAGATACAAGTCATTATCGAACAGATAAGAAAACCAAGATGGTCAAATATCCTCCCTATTTTGAACTATCATTCTTTTAAATCTGGAATCCACAAATGCTACAAATATGGTTGAAAAAATGCATATATTCCTTCCTAAAACAACTAAACTAATTTAATTATAGTGTGTTTTACTTTGATCATCCATCCTGGTTTTGGCTAGGATAGCATTAACTTCCTTCTTAATCGCTGGTACGGGTCTGTATTTTGGATTTAGTACAAGAATAATGTTGATAACACATTGATATTTGAGTTGTTGTTTACTAGTGCTCACTCTAAATCAAGGGCTTCTCAGGTTTCCATTCTCTGTCAGCAAACAGGTACACAAGAGGCTGTGAGGGAACACAGCCAGGACAGCTAACCCAAACTGGCCAAAGGGATATTCCATACCATAGAACATCATGCTCAGCGTATAAAGCAGGGGGAGTTGGCTGGGAGCTGCCAATCACTGCTGGGGGACAGGCTGGGCATCAGTCAGTGGGTGGTGAGCAATTGTATTGTGCATCACTTGTTTTTCTTGGATTTTATTTCTGTTTTTCCTATTATTATTATAACAGTAATATTTTCTTTTATTTCAATTACTAAACTGTTCTTATCTCAATCCACAGACTTTACATTTTTTCCAATTCTCCTCCCCATCCCATGAGGGAAAGGGAGGGGGGGAAGTGAGTGAACAGCTGTGTGATACTTAGTTGCCAGTTGGGGTTAAACCACAACAGACTGTTTTGGCATCCAAAATGGAGCTCAAAGGGTTGAGACAATGACAGATCTGACTAGAGCATGTTAAAACAAATTTCTTATAAGCATTAATTGTATTAGTTTAATAATCATGGGTCACAATGTTGATTTACTTGCTCTCACAGTTGTACTTTTTCTCAGAGTTGCGTTGTGTAACACTTTATTTGCAGTATGTGTTCCCTGTGGTGATGTTTACCATCTTTGAGGCCTGGGCCAAGGTTATTGTTTTGTTGTACTTTGTAATGCTGGCCTATGCTATGATAGAATCCCTGGTGTGAAACCAACCTGATGTGTGTACTCAGCATTGTGTCATTCATGAGCCATCTACTGGGAACTATTAACAGTTACATCTTCTGCCTTTTCTCCTCGGACAGCCAAACTATGGGGGAGACATCTTCCAACATCCATCCTCCCCCCCCTTCCAAGATCTTCCTTCTCCTCCAGGATGATTAAAGTAGTGTTCAAGAATTTTAATGATTTTTAATATTCTTTCAATATCCTTGAAACCAACCTGGTCCTTTTGCTAGGAGCCAGCATGTTGCTCCATTCAAGTCTTGCTTAAGGTTAAACAACGATTTAAGAACATCACCCAGAGATCTGCCCTGAGGCTGGATAGTTCGGAGAGGCCAGAGGGAGGGAGGTGGGAATAGTATGGGCAAGTGCCTAGAGCAGTGGGCACCTCTGATGTTTTTGAACCTCGCCCATGAACAAGTGCATAATCCAGAAAACCAATAAAATATTTGGAAAAAGTGTGCTGTCACCCTGGCAATTCCAGAGAGACACAAATCACTGCAACATGCTGGGGCCTATCAAGTCCTCTTCAACATGACTCAGTACCCTCAAGAGAAAAAGAAGGTCTCTGAACCTGAAGACAAAATGACAAGCCCTGAGGCTACTCCAAACCTGGTGACAGACACTGTGGCAGAACCAGAGAACCAACCTGTGCCAGTACCAGTTGCCCCTGTACACAAGAAGAAATGGACACAAAAGACATCTCAATTAGTAAAGGAGGACAAAGCAGGGCCATCACAGGAACAGGAAGAAGAGGCAAAACAAGACCAAGAGGTAATCACTCAATTCCTATCCCTGAGTGAGCTGCAGGATAAATAAAAATATTTCAGCCATCTTCCAGGTGAGCACATTTTCACCTGGCTACTCGGATACTGGGATAACAGGGCTAGCAGTTTGGAATTAGAGGGTAGGGAAGTCAAGCAGCTGGTATCACTTTCTAGGGAAGGGGGCACTGACAAGGCAATTGGAAGAGGGACACCAGCCCTTAGCCTCTGGAGGCAACTCCTGCCAAGCATAAAAGAAAGGTATCCCTACAAAGAAGATATTCCATGTCACCCAGGGAAATGGACTACAATAGAGAAAGGTATCCAATACCTGATGGAATTGGCTGTGTGAGAGAATTTATTATGACCTGGACAATGCCCAATTCCCAACAGATCCAGACAAAGTCCTATGCCTATGACTCATGCGGCAGAAATTTGTATAGGAGTGCACCATCACTGCATGCCAAGACATTAGCAACAATAATTGGTAAAGATGATGCTCCAACAATAATGAAGTGGCTTGCCAATTCTGGGAATACAATCTCTCTTCCTCCCTCATCTTGGCTGTGGAGAAGCTGTCAATCAGTGATGGTAGTAACACCTCTGGGATAACATATTTAAGAAGGAAGAAAAAGGGACCCCAAACTGGAGCAGGGGAAGGACTCCTCTCTCTGAGCAGTGGCAGAAACAACGTGTGATGAACTGACTGTAACCCCCACTCCTCATCTCCCTGCACTGCTGGGGGGGAGGAGGTAGAGCCTGGGAAGGAGGGAAAGGGGGGGGAAGGTGTTTTAAGATTTGTTTTATTTCCCATTATCCTGCTCTGATGTAGTTAGTAATAAATTCACTTAATTTCACCAATTCGAGTCTGTTTTGCCCATGATGGTATTTGGTTAGTGATCTCTCCCTGTCCTTACCTCAACTCATGAACCTTTTGTTATATTTTCTCTCCCCTGTACATTTGCGGAGGGGAGTGATAGAGCAGCTTTGGTGGGTGCCTGCCATCCAGCCAGGGTCAACCTACTAAAGGGATACAGAGGATCTGAAGCCTGCTATACTCCAACTGAAGAAGAGATCCTGGCAGCTTATGAAGGGGTT